TCTTTTTTTTATCTTTTTTTTATCTTTTTTTTATCTTTTTTTTTTATCTTTTTTTTATCTTTTTTTTTTATCTTTTACTTTTGTTTTCTTATTTTTGTTTTATTTTTATTGGGCTTTTTTATTATTTTTTATTTTTATTCCTATTTTTATATTTTTTATTTTAATTATTTTTTATGTTATCTGTATTTGGCTTTATTTTTATTTCTAGTCCCTTATGACCTTTTCAACAGTTTTTATGTGAATACTACATAGCTCACAATACCACAATAATATGATGACTCTGTACTTTGTTAGTTTGCAGAACCTGCTGAACACGCCCTATGAAATATTCATCATCTCTTCCATAACTCCCAAAGGGGCACAGGTGAATTTGGAGATTCATTTTTTCCCCTTTGGGACTTGTCCCCTGTGTTTGCAGCTTGCGCCTCAGATTTCACTTTCTTTTAGCCGAGGGGAAAATCCGATAAATTTTATTTAAAATTAATATTTCAGACTTAGCAGTATGCAAGGATAATCGTTATCTCCTTCCACTGATTCTCAGCTACTCAATTGCATAACAACAACAACAAAAAGCCAGTTAATTTAAGGGTAACTTTCCTGTGCTCTCCTTATTCGGAGGAGTTTTCTCGCCGTGTTCGTGCACTCAAGTCCCTTAGGGGTTCGGCTGAATGAACAGATCCTCTCCCGTCCGTGCACACCCTGTGTAAATCCCTGATGCGCCTGTGTGAGTGTTTGCACACAGCGTATGTGGGAGGTACCTGGTCTGACTTGTGAAGAGCATCATTTAAATATATGCCAAACTTCTGTTGTTAGGCAAAGAAGTTCTGAATGTGTTATTTACTTTGCGTTCTCTTTCCATCTGGTGTAAGGAATGATGAAAGACAAAGGATATTTTTTTAAACTCAGAGCTCTTATTAAGTTACTAAATAATGCCGAATGGAAAGGTTGCGGTGTAGGATGAGCACAGCAGTGATTTGCAGCTCTGCAGTATGTGCCTCATAGGCAGTATGGTGGCTGAATAGAAACGGTGCGCGAGAGCGGCGTTGCAGTGGGTGCGGAGGTCTGTTGTGCCAACATTCAACTAGCAAGGCTTAAAAAATGGGTGCTGGAGTAGGTGTAAATGTTAGCATATTGCTCCCCGGTTTTAATGGTTGAAGGGTTAGAAGGAAGCACAATTTTTTAATCTTAACAATAAGCTAATGACACTTTTCGTGTGGGAATCTAAATCTGCTCGTCATTCGCGCCCAGCCCCCCCTCGCACACGTTTCCCAAGGCACTCGTATGCCTCCTTCGAGAAAACTAATGATACTGTATCAGCTCCCTTTCCATTTAGATATTTATTTCATATTTGCTTGAAGAATCAGGCCAATGTTTCTGAAAGCACATTTAACTATACCATATGCCTACTTAAATCATCCCTATCAAACAAGTTGCAGGATGACACTCTGGTTCATTCTGTTCTGTTTTCCCTTCCTTCACAATGTGTTTATGTATATTTATCCAATTTGTTCTGTTCTTCTTGCCAAATTGCAGGTTTGAGATCTCAACTATGCAGGGGCAGCTGTGCTATTGTTGCTGCCTTACAAAACAAAGGTCACAGACTGAGCCCGTATCACTAGAACTAATGACAGCTGCATGTCAACCGTGCTGCTGTAGCCATGGAAGGATTGGGGTTCACGGGCTCTCCAAACATAGGAATAAATCTTCCTTCGTCCTCTGGTTCGCGTGGTTCAAGGCCACGCTCATTTTTCAAAAGGCAGTTTTTGTGCAAATTAGCCTCTAGAAAATATCCTGCCATTCAGCTGATAAACTATAACAAAGGATATTACTAATGTGAGGGGAAAAAAAATGGGAACAGAAAAGGAAATCCAAACCAAAAGAGAGCTGAGTTGGGAGGAATGGTTGCTTCTATGTGTAACTAAGGGTAGATTTTCTAATTTCTGAGATGGATAAGATTCACGGGCTGTTCCTGGCTGGGAAGCTATTGGTCCTTTAAAGAAAGGGGCTACCACAAGACTCCAGCTCCTTCAAAAGAAGGTTGTTTCCCAACCTCGCCCAGCAACTCCAGGCAGTGAAACATCGGGGCGGGACCGTCTCCAATGCCCTTTGTCTGGGAAGAGAGATCAATCTGCAGGACTCGTGAATTCAAAACCACTTGGCCCCTTGGGTGGCCTGACATATTATTCCTTCATCTCCCGCTGCTTTTCAGACCAGAAGCCAAGAGTCCAAAGCTATTTAAAAGGATGTTTCTTAGAGCTACGCGTAGCTTTTGAAATAGCAAAGAAGTGGCAATGTAATAGATGGAGCAGACTAATGAGATGAGGCACATGACCATAGATACAGCTCTGAGACTATACAGCTGGCTTGGAGGCTGCCTGTCTACGGCTACCTCACCAGTGGGCTGTTAATTATTTAAAAGAGAGCACTGGGGAAGCTACCATCACATCTGTCACCCACACACAGGCAGAACCTTCACTCGTGGCAAGACCAGATGTGTTTATTCGAAACCTATACTAACTAGCTACTTAATGGGTTAGAATTATTAGCCAGAAGTTAATTAGGCAAACGTATTAAACATCAGTCACCTTACACAGCATCCCTTTTCTTAAATGCCACTTCTACAGAGGCATTCTAAAGAAAAAAGGGGGAAAAAGAAAACACTCCAGGAAGGGACTGCAGTAGGAGATAATAAATTTATGAAATGTGATGATTGTGTACCAATGTCACATTAAAACAGCAGTGCTCTAGGCAATCGCTTTAACCATGTGAAAAACAGTCCCTTAAACGCAACACATGGGAAGGAGGCACAGGGGGTTGTTTTAGCACCTACAGGTGTTGGAGAAGAAACAAACTTAATAGAGGATGATTTTTTTTTTTCCTTAGGAGAGCAGCCAAACCTTTAAAGGGATGGCTTCCCTGCATTGCATGTGTTTGTATTCCACAGCTTCCGGACCCTTCCGTGGCACCCTGCCTGCATAATGGACTTAGAAACGTGGCTGGCCAACGTACCACGCTCTTGTTTCCCAAGAGGCTGAATTCAGAAGCATTTTTTTTATTTTCAATCCTGGCTCCCAAGCTCGTGTCACATGAAGAAGGCCACGGCATCAAGGCACAACACGCTCTATTTTTGGGGTAGTCCAAGGGAGCCAGACCAGTCGGGATCCTTTGTTAGCAACCAGCCCTGACAGCCGTTTCATGAAGCACCTTTCAGCTGCTCTTGAATGAGAACAGCTGTCTGAGAGCCAAATGAGGTAATTGACAGGATGGAGCACCGCAAGCCATTCATCTCCACTAAGCCTGTGTTTGCTTTCCTGTTTCCCTACTCTTCCTTTTAAATCCGGAGCTCATATTAATGAAAACGGCAACCTGGAAAGCAAGACTCAAGCATCACTCCTGGATTTTATGGAAACATCTTTAGCACAAAGCATCTTATCAGAGGTAAACCTGAAGGAGTAGTTTGCTGTGCTTTCTGCCTCTCATTTCTTTGGAGCTGGTTCCTGGGGAGGCAGAAGCTCAGGGAAGGCACATCAGGGACAAATTTTCTTTCCTGCATATCTGCTTTAAATTTTGAAGCTATCTATAGGAGCAAGCAAGAACTCCTCCGTTCATTCTGTAAACTATAATATGTTTAAAGTGGAATTGCCCAGGATTTGTGCTTTACTTGAAAATGATTTTTACAGGAATTGGCCAGAATCTAATAGGGAGAAATGCACTGCATCCACAAGCCCATTTCTACAGTCACATGGAAGCTTTGCACAAGACAGAACTTGGGCTTTCCTTAAGCCCCTATTTAGAGAAGCTCTCAAAGATGTGTTTAAGCCTACGGTTAATTCCTGCTGTCCTCTGCTCTGTCTTGCATGTGATGTACAGCAAAAAGCCAGCACATTCAGAGCAATTAATTCTGCCCTGAATCTGTACTCAAAGACAGAGCATACTACCAAAACCTGGGTCAGTGAGGGGGAAGAAAACCTGCCCAATGTGAAGTTCCAAAAAGTGATTTTTTTATAGACTTTTTATATGATGGACTTTTTACTGCAATGGGACTAAAGAATTCAGAATTTCTGAACTGAAGTTCAGAAATGTCTAAAGGGGAAGAGATGGATGCAGTAGCTGGTTAAGTTACTTTCTGAAGTCTGTGTCACTTAGTTCTCTATCTCTCTGCATGCTGAGGGACGGCATTTGAATTCTAGAGCAAGAAGTGATAAAGCAAAACCAAAAAGTCTTCCAATCTGAACTCCTGAGAAGTGACTGTGCAGAAAGCACTCAGTACTGTTTAGGCCTGAACTGCCTTGGAGCTCCTGTCTCATTGACAAATAAGGGCAGAACAAGCAAAGCAGCAGCTGTCAAGAGGATGACCCGAGAGGTGAATGGGACTGGCCCCTCCTGTAAGAAGTCTGGTAAATAGAGAACCAAAGGAATGTTTTAAGGTGGCATTTGCAATGTGGAAACATGAAGCTATGTGATTTTAGAGATTATTTGCCACTGTATTTTCTTTCTAGGAAAAAAAGGTTTATACTTTATTAGAGGAGTTTTAAGAGTTTGAGCTATTTATTGAGCTATTTATTTTCTGAATATGTTCAAAGTTTTATGCAATGCACTCAATAATACTGTATTTTCCCTTAGCAATTCCTTATTGGAAAGTCTGGTTGGGAAATACCTTGAAGTTTACCACAAAAATAGTTTTGTGCTTCTATCCAGCTCTTACTACTGGCAACGTACTGAAAACAAATGCATGAACTTTAACAGAATTTTTCATGCACTTGTGTGTGCTTAATTTCAAGTAAACTGCACACTGGAGACTAAATTTAAGACAAATACTTGAAAACTGGAGGTAACTAAGAATTTGGGAGAATACAGGTTAGTAATTTCCCTTTCCAACACACAACAACTAACTCCCGTTTAGCTTTCATGCTCTATTTAAGTGTCATCAGCTGTTAATTTTGGACAGGATGTAGGAAAGGACATGTGTGAACAGAAGCCTGAGTGTCTTGAATAGAGGGGTAAGTCAGGTCATCCAGCCTTAGCACAGACTATATCTCTGCATGTGACCATCAAGCTCAGGGCACCTGGAAACAGGGTTCCACTTGCCCTCCCATTTTTTTTTTTTCCTGGGATTTGTCTTTTTGTTTGTGTGTTACTTGTTAAGCTTATAAACCAGAGGAGAAAGGGACTGCCTGTTTCTGCCCTACCATTCTACAGACATGCAGAAGTCTGTTCACTGGAATGGTATCAAAACCATACTTGAAGAATTGAGACACTGTTGGATACAAAAATGTAAGTAACGATCCTACTTAAGTATGTGTGTGCCTGTTGGTGTTCTTAAATACATGCCCAATTGTAGGTGAATTTTAAGTGAATTTGGGTGGACTACTCAATGAATTTGAAGTTATGAGAAACTCACATGTCTTGCCAGATGGAGGGACAAGTGCTCACTTGATTTTATGAGTTAATGTTGGGATAGATTGTTCTTACGCTATTCTAATATTAATCTTGGAACAGACGCTCCTGATGAGTTCAAGCACAGGATCCCTGAAGATGGCTGACAGCGCTGCTGCTGTATTTAAAAAAATCTGCAATTCTCAGAAGTATTTTAAGCACAGCGATCACTTCTCAGCCCTGTTTGGTTCTGAGTGTTTTACTTAGTAGCCTAGATCCAACCCTTCTTGAATTGCTCACACAAATAGCTGAATATGAATATGAATTTGGGCTTTAGCACCAGGAGCCAGCAGATCTCCTGTTGCAATACGCTAGTGAGAAAGTAGAGCTGAAACAGCAAATGGGAAGAGCTGACCAGTAGATGGGCAAATACTTAGCTACAAATATTTCAGTTAAGTATTCTTCTGTTATGCTAGTTTAACATATTTTATTATTTTCAGCATACCAAAAAGTAGCATTTGTAAATGTTTAGTTAATAGGAATATTGTCCTGATTCTCTTTTTAATGGAGCCAGAGGGGATTTTAATACTGGTTTAGAAGAATAGAAGCCATATGTTTGTGAAGTCAAGCCTAGAAATAAGTTTTCAGAACATACACTCAAAAGACTTGGAGCAAGAAGACTAGAATAATCTCTGCAATAGTGCAAAAGGCTATTTTTTTTATAATATACCACCATTTTTCACCTGTGCTGGTCCTCAAAAGTAGAAGCAAGGGCTCTGTTCTCTTTCCTAAGCACTATGATTTCAGAAACCTCTAAAATAATTAAGTGATGATGAGGAACTCTTTAGTTTGTGATCAGTTCCCTTTAAGCTGTAGCAGGACAGGAAGCTCAATTCACTTCTGAGCTGTAAGGATGCACAGGTTTCCTCAGATATTCTGGAAGAGCCTCCTAATTTGCCCTGACACTGTCTGCGCATTAGAAGCTGCATCGTTTTTGTACACCAGTCTGCTTGGTTCTATGACCACACTGGCCTTCACGGCATGTCACCATACATGAAACCAAGCAAATTAACTTTACTGGGTTTACCTCATCTCCCCACAGATTATATGAAGAGACTTTTCCATTCAGAATTTTTTGCATCTGCTTTTCATAATCCATAGGTAACTGATCTAGAAATCCCATGTAATTCTCACACTAGCCAACCCAGGGTTCTTTTGCAGGAGTAAATTCAGTGAAGAACAGTATGTTGAATAAAATAGTTGTTGAAGTTGTTGAAAAAAGTATGTTGAAAAAAATAAAGAAGTTTTTTTAAAGGGCATAGGCAGCATCTCATCACCTAAGGGTTCCCTATCAACCTGCTACACAGTACTACAGGAAACAGGCTTTGAAAAGAAGGCTTAATTATAAATACATGGGTGCTATTATGGAGGCTTCTAAGTAGGTGCAGCCAGCAACTGGAAGGCAAGTGGAAGCACGCTGTGGCATCAGTCCAGGAGACCAGGGGTTTACCAAGGAAACATCTTTGGCATCTTGCCTATTCCTCAAAGCTTTCTTGTTCCACATTTGAAGAGTGCAAATTCTTCAGCCTCATACAACAGGAATATAATTAAACCTGCTAGGTGAGGTTTTGCCCATTCACCCAGGAACCAAACTGTATGTTTAGGAGCTGAAAAGCTAATTTTGCTTTTCTGTTGTAGTTAATTCCACTGAAAAGAGCACTAGGAAAAAAAGAGCAGATCGGTTATTGCTATATTAGCAACTATTATTAGCTCCACTACATGAGGAATTACTGGGAGGTATCCAGCAATAGTCTGAGTTGTGCCAACGGGAAGTCAAAAGTTCAAGTATGTACATATCTTTCATAGCTGTCAGTCTTCTGCATAGCAAACCATTTATCTCCGGGACAAAGCTGTAACTGATTCAATACAGAGTAACGGAATTGTGTTTTGCATAACCAACTTCTGAAAAATCTTTTTGTGTAAACCTGTGCAACTTTCTAACATACAGTTTACGCCTTCTTTCCTATAAGCATTACTGAGAATTGGGCTGTAATTAGGTGCTTGACCTGGACTGGAGTTGCAACGTGATGTGTTGGCTAGCTCAAAAACACTTCAAAGGCCAAAAAAGCACTTAAAGAACAAAAGAAATACAGCGTGTTCAAATAATGTTCACAGCGCTTGAATAAATATCAATAAATATTCCTGCATTTTATATTCATGGGGTAGGATATGCTATCTGCATATCTGCGAACTAAATGTGCAAAGAGCATCTAGAGGTTTAGGTGAGGATGTTTAATGCTGTGGGCCTAGCTGGATGCTATGTTAGCTGTTTTAAGGTCATGTAACTCCTTGGAATTATGTGGCTTGGAGAGGAAGGTTCTTAACCTGCCTGATTTACGTCTTCCTGAAGATAAAATTAGTTCTCTTACAGCTGCACATGGTGATGATTTCCTTTAGTTAAGACAGCAGTTTGTTACAGCTGTTTTGTTGTAGAATTGGCACGCAACCACATACAGGCTAGCTCAGCTGAAATTAGTAAAACTGTCCTGTGTAATATAATAGCAAAACTGTGCTCACAAACTGCTGTTGCTTAGGACAAGATCAGTGTTCTGCCTAGCTATTTGAAAGGCAACTTGATGATCATGAAACATAACAGAATAAAACTCATCCCCTCCCTCTGCCCTGCAGTGTAACTCTTTTCCGTGTTTGTTTTTCCTGCACTGCCATAAAACAGTGCTCACTCCCCAGAGATGAGCAGTGTGATGTCAGGCTGTAGCTGCTGCTCATCTGCAATGATTCACCCTGCTCTTCCGCTCGTTTTAACTACTTACAGAGTTTTTGTTTTGCTTTCCAGCTTTTCCCTTCCTAGTTGCTATTTAACATACAAAGCAGATGTGCGTTTGGAGTTTTGCTATCAGTTTTCTAGCAGCTGTGGTTGTTGAGTCTTACTAAGCTCAGGAAAGTAATTTACTCAAAAAATCATCTGCTCAATGTGCTTGCTTCTTAAACTGTTAAGAACTCACAGTAAAATGACAGTGCAAATTGGCAGTGAAATACTGCGCTTCCTAATGTATTCTTATTAATATCACATCCCAAATTACTTTGGCCCTGTTTTGCAAGTAGCTCCTCTCCAAGAACAGACTGACTCAAAGCCTCCTCTCTCCTACAGGGCTGAAGTCTGACATGCAGTTTTCTGACTTCTGATTAGCTCTGGATTTCTATTTCATGTAACTATCTCATAAATTTTAAAAATGAAGTTTAAGCTGAAGTGAGCCTAAAAGCCTAGGGCATGTCTGAATTTGACAACAGGAAGGAAGAATTAGCTCTCCAAAGGCCAGAAGTAATCTGCAGCCCTAGCTGGTGACACTTAGAATAAGGCCAGAGCTGCAGTTTAGCCACAGCGTTGTTATGAGATGGCTGCAGTTGTTAAATTAATGCCTTGCTTTATCATTACATGTTGAGCAGTGATACATATCTTGACATGTAATTTTAATAATAGCTTGTAAGTGTCAGTGATAATGTAATGTGTTTAAGAAGGAGTCTAAAGATGATCCAGAAGCAAGCATATTAAGCGCTGTTAAAACATAGCTAATCTGCATAAAACTTATGACAAGCCAGACCTTTTCAGTGTCTAACGAACTGGCTGGATATTCATTTTTAAGGCACTGTCCAAATTGGTTTGGTCACAGATGACTATTTAGAACCCATTCCAGAACTGCGAAATACACATGGAAATAACACAAGAATGACAGAAAAACAAAACAAACAAAAAAGCTGCTCTCCATAAAAACAATAAAAACCACCTCTAGCCAAAACCCTTCATGATTAGTGTCAGCAAAAATGAGTCCAATTCTATTAAAAAACAGCATAAGATCTACTTTAAGTACTTACTGGCCACTTTTATATAGGATTGGTGCAGGGCAGAGCAGAAACTCTGGTTCCACCTTTTTTGGTTTTTCATCTGAAAAACAAATTATATGTGTGTATTAAATAATTGTTCTTAGATGTGACGATGTCTGAACACTCTATAACGCCCTTTGCTTTTTACAACATGCTAGCTATGGGCTTCACCATGTCCTGCACTCGCAAGCAAGGAAAAGCTGTAAGTCAGAAGAGGAAAAGAAAATCAAGCCACACTTTGTCAAGGGAACGTGAATGCCTACAGTATGTAATATGCATTCACAGTACATTGATTATTTAAATTGACACATTTTTAGGTCAGCCTCTCCCAGAGAGTGATGTTTTCCTAGAACTAAGGCCTTTCTAAGAACACTGGGAACATTATTAGGTAACTCCTAATATTTGCAAGGTGAGGGTTTGCTTTTCATTAGGTCCATTCTCCTGTATTGCCTTTACATTGTATCAGTTGTGGTTCAGGGTTTGATTTCTCTAGTATTTTTGTGCTTTAAGGTTTCTAAACACTTCTAATTCTCAGCTGCCTCAGTGTCCAGCAAAGCATGGACACTTTTCAGTGGCTGCGAAAAGGCAAAAGGTGAAAGTCTCTGCACTGGGTGACCCGAGGAAGCAGTAGTTCTTCCTTGCCAGATGACGAGATCTCCAGAAGGAGCTGGCCTCAAACAGGACTATCACCGTCTGTCCTGGGTGCCTACAGGATTTGTTGAAGAAGGCTGTTTTACTTGGTGTGTTGGGTAAGATGGGAGGGATTCCGCTCCTGCAGGCAGAATCATCATCTTAACTTTCCCCAGGATAGGGTTGTTAATTCTGTGCTGGAGCTGCACTTACATAGACTGCTTCCTGACTGGGGAGGTGGATAAATGATCTGCAAGATAAACTCGGAGATGGCTCTATTCTGCATTTAGGAGGCAGAGGGGGAAGAAGATATACAAATAGTTCAGGAGCAGCTCAGGGAGGAGCTGTTAGCATAAATGAACCCTTCCTTTCTTATGTGCTGTAATCTGCACCAACTGCTTGGCCTAGATTTGGGGCTAGTTGTGAGTTGGGGAAGAGGGATTAGCACATTGCCATATGTTTTTGTCTTAATGGTATGTTTCATAGATTATTTTTTTTATCCCACAGTTACATTTGGCAGATTTCCTTTCCAGCATTTGGTAATGGTTCTTTATAAATGCAGAAAGAGAAACATGCCAAAACCGTCTTTTAAAACCAGAAGAACCAACAAAATGACTGTTTAGAGGCTGTGGAGCAAAAGGGTAAGGGAATTCTAATAGATATATATTCATGCAAGTGTCCCTTTAACTTTCTGCTCCAAAATGGAGAGGTTCCACCGCTAGCAAGCTGGTTTTATTTTTCATACAAACTAATAGACACATGGGGAAAATATTCCTTTTCTTAGGGCCATTTTCTTCCTCCTCCTATTGCTGGGAGAGCTGTTTCTACCTTTTTGTCCATCCTAAATCTATGATACTCCTCTAAGGCTCCTCTGGAACAAAACTGCTTGGCACACAGTGCAGAGCTCTAGAAAGATTTAGCACACCAGGGGAAAGATCACATAAAATTTCCCTATTTATTCCCCAAACATTCGACATAGGCCATTGCTGGAGACAAGAACCTGGGTGGATTGGGAAAGGCCTTTGGCAAGGCACCAGAAAGCAGCTTGTGTTGTTATACTGCAAAATATAATAAATACATCACTATGCCATTCCTCTCCCTTCTTGTGCTTTAGCACACCCTTTCCTGAAGCCAAGAAAAGAAAAAGCAGCCCAGAGATGTAGCTGTAAATTCTCACGTCAGATGCTTACAAGAATTTGGGGGCTTTGTTCTGTCCAGCTATAGTTCCATCTACAAAGGCAACTCAGATGTCAAATATTCATGTATATTCTGTTCTGGTACAAATGACAATGGAATTGTGGAATCAGGAAAAAATCCATCAGAAGGTACTTGGAGAGGTCATTTAAAGAGGGAAACATATGAGCTTTTTTTGTGACATTCCTTATAGTTACTATTAAGATTTTCTAGGTAACATATTGCAGCCCTTAAGTATTTTTTAGTGAGATTCATTTTCCTAATATCGAACATGGATCACTTGCAGAATTTTAAGCCTACTACCTCTCGTTCTCATTGGCCAGATTTGGGGTGCCCAGTTTTTATCTTCATTGTCAAAGCAGATCATGTTAAAACAGTTAACATTTACTTCTCCTTTCCATGAATGTAATTCATTTCACTTTTTTTTGTCTTCCTCCTACTTTGCTCTGGACTTCTACTTGCTCTTGCCAGAATCCTTTGGACTCAAGTTCCTAGGGAACACAGCCAACCCCTAATTCTAGCAGCACCACCATCTACCAGTAATTAAGTACTGCAAACCCATTTGATGCATAGTGGTAGCACTGCTAAGAGGAGTGCCAAAACTGTTAATACAGTAACTACTCCCAGGAGGAGAGGGGAGGTTTAAATTTGAGGTTTATGGAAAGTGGCTGATCCCGCTTCTAATTTTAATATTCTTTAGGTCCTTGTTTCCACCGTGCATTTACTGTCCTCCATCAGAAGATTCCGAGCACTATGAGCATAACCGTAATGATGGAAGCCTACAAATGCTCTTGTGAACAAGGTAACTGCTGCTGTTTTCTTTATACAGAGATAAACCGGGATATAGTGAAGTGCTCATGATAAACAGCAAGTTAGGAATAAAGCAGGACTACAAGTGAAAAATCTAGATGGCTTAAACAGGCTCCCGAAATTGAAATTTAAGTTCTAATTATCCCGAAGTCACGTTTTTAAGGCTTCAAATCTTTGTCCAAAGTAGTGTGGAATTCATTTTCTTGAGCTGGAACTAAATTAGTCTGTTTCTCTACTTGTCCAAGTAACAAAGGTACACCAGGGGAATATATAATGGTAAGAATTACTTGGCAGATGGCAGATTCTACCTCTATAAAGTTAATTCATGCAATAAGTGTTAGCTTAATCTTAGGAAACAAGGATGACATTTTCAATGAGAATGAAAAGAAATTTATAAAGGTAGAGTTTATTTACACAAGTTGTCTTTATCCACAGCAACTGTGCTACTTCGTTGCTCTTTCGAGCTGTTCTAGGAGATCTTTAACAGGCAGGAGAGATTGGCAACACATTCAAAGCATAAATTATATCCAGAATAGGAATAAAAGGTACTGGAAACATATGCAATAGGATAGGAATTTAAGACAAGCTTATATAAAAATCAGATATTAGATAGCAAAAAACACCTCTTACACATGTCCACTTTTCATTATTTTCCAGTCTGGCTAGTTGGTTTGTACTAAGGGATTGTGCTTAAAGCAAAAAGTTGAATATGAATTCACTAGCTGTCCACTTGAGTTTCTGAGTATTAAAAAGGGCAGAGGTTTCTAATAATGGCAATTTCTCCACCATCCTCACCCTTGTGCCAACTCAGACAACATGATAATGAAATTCTCTGCCAGGAAACTCATTTAATAAGATAATTGATGGCAGGGAGGAAAAAAGTTTGGATTTTCTCTCTACAAGTATTACAGTTTTCTTCTAACTTCTGCAGTCTTCTATTTGGAAAAATTTCTAAGTGCACAAAAGATCTAAGGATTGTAATATCCATCCAAGAGTGAGTGTTCATTAAAAAAAAATCTGTAAAGTACACTTTTTTTCTTGAGGTAACAATTGAAACTACAAGGGAAGTTTGAATTTTTATTTCTAAAACTAAGTTCTTGTCTATGGGTAAAAACCGAGGGAACTGTAGCACAGTTAGAGGTCTGGCTACAGTGAGTCTCTCCTCCTGGAGGGAAATGCTGTTTGAAAAATTGGGCTGATGACCAAGCTCAACATATGAGGAGAAGATAGCACCAATTGCTCTGACTTGGTTTTGTTCTTTCCACATTGGAGCAGAAGCCTCAAAAAGTGGACTCCACATCGTGGAAGGGCATTCAAACTTCAAGTGCCTGAAACTAGCAGCGTGAGGGCTCTGCATCTGCTACACGAAACAGGCTGGACAGAGATGCTCCAAGATACCCAGGTAAGTGCATGTTGGAAAGTTGGCCTTTTGAATGAAAACCCGTGCCTTGAGTCATGTCTTCGTACAGTATGGGGACACTAGGTTAGTGTGCTTTGTGGTCCTGCTCTCTCAGACAAAAACATACGTTCATTTAAGGGCAAGAAAGCATTTTGCAGCATCGCACAACAGTGCAGCCACACATCAGTCACAGTTTACAGCCAATGGCCACCAGCAGCAAAATGAAACTCTGGAGTAAGATGAAAAAGTATTCACATTATATTACGATTCCTCACAGCTTTTGTATTTCTCCTTCCCTATTTTTCTCCTTAGATTTCTTCCCTATTTTTCTCCTTCCCTTAGTTAACCAGAAGGGAGGGGGAAAAAAGCATTTATGAGGAAATATCAAGGCAGTTTGTCAGTTTGTCTCAAATGTAGATACTTACTAATAGTGGTTCCATTCACGTGATAGGTACAAGTAATACCATCAAGTCTCCTGGCAAGGGTTAAGCCACTTCCTCTAAGAACAACTTGAAACTCCTCTGGAGGGGGAAAAAAAAGAAAAAAAAAACAAAAAAAAAATCGTCGGTCTTTAGTACATTGTGATAAAGACTAAATGCAGACAAGGAGAATATAAATTTAGCCATCAATAACTCAGCCATAACATAGTCAATCTTCAAACAGTCTTGTAACACCTTTTTAAAGTGTCTTAGTACCTGACTCTTCAGTTAGATCATTAAAGGAAAAAAAAATACATATTCTCACTCTTTATCATTCAGTGTAGCCCTGTTGGAAGGAAGTCTATTCTGACTAGCAACTAAAGCTGAGCAAATAAAGCCCTTGGGGATTAGATGCACAAGTAAAACTTTCTCTGATAAATAAGGAATCTGGGTGTCACAAGAAGATTCCCAAGACTTGGATCAGATTCACTTAAAACTTGAGATCAAGTCTGTTTGAAGCTGTGTATGGGACGCACTGAGTTTTATGCAGAAGAAGTGAGAAGAGATTGTTTATGGAGTCACCGGTTTAATTGAAACGATCCATGTCTTTACAGAAACATCAAAATAAGTAGATTTTGCAACTCCCTTATTTTGATTGGTTTCAAAGTACGTGCAGATTGTGAAATCCTAGAGAGAAGACAAGCACTTTTATGTTTGTGCAGTTCTACTTAAGAAACATATTAACACTTGCAGCGCACAAATGCAGATCTCTGCTCTCAGGCCCATGCTAAAATAAGTCAAATGCTTTCCTTCTTGCACTACAGATTCAGGGCACTATATAAATTATTATGTTTATATGAACATACATACATAATCAGGATTGCCAAATTTTAACTCAGTGGCTATACATAAAATTGTATAAGAGTATCACAGAGTATCTGTCCTTGCTTTGAATGCAAGGACAACGGATCTTTTTAGATTTATCAATCTCTTTGTGAAGGAAAGTGCATCTTAGAATTCTAGTTTCCTTTGATGACTTCCATAAGCTCTCATCAGTTGCAAGCACAGGAAGAAATTCCTAATTCCTGTTAGAAGGAATTAGACTTTAGAGCAGGAATTAGACTTCACAGCCTCATTCACAAAACACGAATACCAGATAAGGAGGCAGGTTCAGGACAGGTTTTAACCTCTCCTGCCAGTGAGAGGCTATGAAATTTTACCTTCTGTGAGGGAGCAGCTTGTTCTGAGGCTTTCTCTGAGTTTGAATTCTTTCATTTCTCATAGGTGAAAGAATACAAAAACAGCTAGTGAGGAGTACTTTTAAATCAAATGACCATGTGTGACAAACGTGACAGTGAGAGGCAAGTATCTATCTCAAACTTATGCTGGTACTGGCAATTTAAGAGAGACCCAGGAAGACAGCTCCTCTGAGCAGCAAAATGTGTAAACAGGGAAGGATTTGATCTTTTTTAAAAATTCCCTGAGTACTTTTAAAAATTCTTGTTTTCTTTCTAGATGACCTGTAGTGTTCTTGTTTGTATACAATTTGGAAATCAAACAGTTCTACAATTATTATTTTTGCCAGTTCTAAAAACTTACCTCCCACACAGACACTGGATGGTTCCAAATATAAAATCTCAGTGCATGATTGCTTCAAAACCTATTGCAAAGAAGGAAACAAAGAAATAGGTTTCAGAATGTTCTTCCAATGGGGAATGTTACTTGAAAACCAGTGCTTGTACCCAGAGAATGCACATGCTCGTGTGGTTTCATGTGTATGTGGCCAACTTATCAGAACGTGGTCTTGAGCATATAAAAGTTCTGCACACCTGCATGGTCAAATTTTCTAAGGGTTCATAAGACTTGAACTAGATTGTTAAAGCTGGGATACTCTTCAAAACAATATAATGTCTGGTTTGGGTCTTGGAATTTGTCTAGTTCCTTAACCTAATTTTCCATGGAACTCAACCGTAATATTTCAGCCAGAAGTTAGTCACAAGGAGCCTGATCCAAACTCCAGTCAAGCTCAAGGGAGTCTTCCAACAAAACCTGGGTCAGGCCAAATGCAGATTATTCCAAGTACTGGCATCCTGCCCTATGTAAAGAGCAGAAATGTACCATGCTTTTGATTGTACTGTATTCTGTGGAGTTTTCTTCCCTCCTGTACCCATCAGCCTGCTTTGCTACTCTAAGCAGTCAGTATTCTTCCATAAAGGAGGAATGAAATGACTTTCCTACAGATGACTTGGAAGTAAAGGGGATGGAACATGGGAGAGAAGAAGAAATTAGGCCCCTTCAAATGATTTGCACATAAAAGGGAAGCCTGAGATTGTAGTCCTGCTTTCAGCCAAGTCATGTTTTCCCATTTGCACATACATTATGTGACCAGGTTATCCATGGTGACATAAGCAGAGCCATAAGTAGCATCAAGGTCTTTCTTGCCACAGACTATTTCACCATTTTCTATGGTGCTTTGCAGAAGGATGGAATAAAGACTGTCTGGCCACTTCATTGCCATTGTTCCTGCAAGCAGGAGCCCACACTCTGCTTCCACCAGTAGGATCTCTACCTTAAGTTAAGACTCCCTCTCTTCCTTGCTACTGCTGTCCAGGAAGGGGCTGTGATCTACTACCAATATGTTATTCCCTTTCTAAACAACCAGGCAAGAGGAATTCTGCTAAGAGGAAGAAGTCGCCTGAAAGTAATAGAATTCAACACAGAAACAATTCACACTTACACTTCCTTCTACCTCTAAATGATAATGTGTGAGTTTTCCAATAACTTCTAATGACATCTTCTGCTTAGTAAGTTTTCATGCTGCTTTTGAATAGATTTGCCTGTACTAAGTGGTATATTCCTTAGCAGACTTTGACACATAACACGGGGATCATGCAAGGTCTGTGCCACTGTGTGCATGTGCTATTATTGTTTCCTCTCTACTGCCCTGTGCTAAACTGCGCCTGCTCCTGTGTTGGCCTAAGTATAAGCATATGTAGTTCCCTCTTGCTTGCACATCCTTATTCTTCTGTTTAGAAGCTGTTGTATCACAGGATCCTGTTCGCTTGTGCTGTTGCTCCATATCCAGACCCAGTGCAAACAGTACCGTATCTGCCACTGCACAGTCAAAACACTTTCCAGGCTCACAACAAATCAAAACTGCCTGTCTCATTTAAACTTTCCATAAACTTTTCAACCTGCTCCTTCAAAGTTCTGTGCCCAGATTCTTTGTAGTGCTTTGAATACCATTTCATAAGCTTTAAGCTGTATCTAAAAATCTAAGAGTTCTTGGACACGTGTTTGTATGAGACACAGCAATGGAGATGTCTGGAAAGAATGCGGTTTTCTCAAGTTTACTGGAACTCAACCAGTTCGTATTAGCTGAAGAGTTCATTGTTTCTTTCCAAAAAAGGACTTGGCTTTTGATTCCTGTTTCACTGTAAAGAGAAAAGCTCTAACTTTGTTTATTTTAGAAAAAGTAGTATGATAACCTTTTGTAGGGTAAAATAGAGATATAAAAAAGCAGATGATTTCTACTTTACCATGAAGTCCTTGCTCTGTTTTTTTTTTTTTTGCATGAACAGTCCAATTTATGTCAATCAGGCTATAGCCTTGCTTTAAAATGAAGTATAGGTGTCTTTCTTGGTAGGATGATGGCTCATTAAAATTGATTTTTTTTTTTAAATATTAGATTAGCACTAGATCCACAGGAAGCAGTTCTCCAGAACCTTTCCTATCACTACTTGCCCGCTTCCCTGATAAATTAGGGCTCTATTCAAAATTTGTGTGGGGGGAAAAATAGCAGACATTTTATTTCTTTCCTTTGAAAATAGTATTTTTGTTACATCAGAAAACCTGAAAATGAGGTTATCATTCTCCCCACCTTCTTTTCTTTTTAATTTTAAAACTTGCTTTGAACCATCTTCCTGTGGAAACCTAGGCTGCACTAATAGCAACATCTACATGAAACTTTTAAGAGCTGTGACTAAATCCCCTCTTTCCCAGCTCACAACAAAGAGAAGGCTTTGGCATTGCAAGGTCAGTATTTAAAAACCTACTGCCCACAAGTAAAGTTGAAATAATTACTATATAAGGCCATCTTTGAATAGGATAGTTAGCTACTCTGCTGACATATAATAAATTAAAATAAGACTGTAAACTTCCTTAGCATAACAGCATGCAGGGGAGAGATTCAAAGAGCTGATGTCATCTATTTCATTTTCAGAGTTCCAGGCCAAATATAGGGCTCTGTTCTTCCAGGCTTGGAAAGGCTTTGCTTCCAGGCACTTCCCTGAGTGCTAGCTGCTCCACAAACAAGAAATTTCCCACAAAACAATATAGCAGGGAACTGCAACCTGTTAGCATGTGTTCTGCCTTCCTCCAAGCTTGAAAATGGAGGACTGAGAAAGACCTACAGAAGGTTGGTCCAGATGTAAGAACTATGGTCTGCAGAATTGCTTGTCCTGGCTGGAAACACAGAAGTTTCCAAGAGTGGGGGAGCTCATGGAGGGTATCCAAATCACAGGTAGAGGCTTGCCATTTTAACTCTGGCTTGGAAGCATGTGTAGCAGCTAAAAAAGAAAGAGCAAGGAACATTTCTGCTCTTGGGGCTGATCAATCTCTTGATGCTCAAAGGGACATTAAGTTAAGGTCCCAAATGTCATCTTGCTCAGCAAGAACAACAACAACAAAAACAATAGGCTACAGAGGAAAAACTCATTCTGTAGTTCCTCATATACAGAGTTTGTGTTGCATCACTGCCATATTGCAGCCGCAGACGAACATCTTAGATGCAAAAAAAAAAAACAGTGTTATGTTGTATTTTCTATAAACACTTATTACGAAAGCTACCTCACCAACAAGGAGCATAAACACATCTTAGGCTCCTTGCTGCAGGCACAGTGCAGCAAAGCTTCTGAGGGACAATTAGAGGCAAAAAGAGCCTTGGTGGCTTTTAGTGAAATCACATCTTATGGCCATTAAGTAAATGGATACTGTATGGAGAATTGCCACAGCATTTATCAGTAACGCAAGTTAATTATTTCAGGATACATGAGACAGCAGAGATTATCAGAATAAAGGCATCTGAGATATCCCATGGGCACTCAACAGCAAATTCATCCGTGATGTAAACTCACTAATGTACACTGGGACTGAATTTGGCTAAACAAGCTCTCCCTTCCTGAAAGGGTCATGTGTAAATCAGCTGTTGGAGTGTCCCATTTGGTCTGTCAGCCAGCTACCACATTCCACGGCTGCGCATCCGATTTAAAGCATATGAATATTTTGTTGAATGTGGTGGGATGAGATCTTGGCGGAAGCACAAGACAATGGAAGACCTGCCTTGCTGGATCAAGGCCTTGATGCCCCTCATGCCAAATTAGCTTGAGTTTCCATCCACAACAGCCTTATTTTACCTGGGCTATGCGCGGCTTTCGGAGGCTTTGTCTTTTCAAGGAGTTTCTACGTACTCCACTGTCACTAGCAAACAAACCTTGGCTGCTGGTTCATTCATGAGGCTTAAGTAGACAGCAGTCAGAACTAGATCAGTTTAGCTTCTCAGGTAGCCAACTGGTATTCAGGCTTTCACTTCAAGCTCCGTATTTTGTGATTATTGCTTACCTTCTTCTGTTAAACTATTTCAGAGATTTATGGGATACAGGCTGTTTTGTGTTCAAGAGTAGTCTAATCTTCAGGTAACATAACAAAACACAAACATAGGTAAATTTTTGCCTTTTTTTTTTTTTTTTATTAGAAAGTCCAGCCATTCTGTCAGCCCTTGAGTTTGCCACAAACTTTACATCTAATGAATTTGTATCTGGGCAACTTGGTTGTTAATCAGTACTTGCAGTCTGTCTGTGGCATGGATTTCTATGTGCTTCCTGCTAGAAGGTTCCTGCAGGCTCACATAAACTTCAAAATCGACTTCATAAATAAGCAAAGCAGTTTAGAATTTATGTCGTTAATGAGATATTTAATTCCATTATTAGAGGTGTTTTACTAAAATGCTGTCAGTTTCTGACCTGTAGGTGTCTGAATTGAAAAACAGAGCCATGTTTTGTTAAAATTATTTAAGCTGCAAAAACAATACACCTACACAAATAATTACATTAGCATAGAAAAAGCAGATGTCCTTGCAATAAATTACAAAAAAGGCGGCTAAACAGCAAGATGAAATAAGGCTCGTCAGTGCTTTTAGTCTTTGCAAACTCCACCTCTTCAATTAATCTAGCCCTTTTACAGATCTTGCCTCTGCTTTATACAAACACTTCTTCCTTTAAATAACTTGTCCTCTGCATTTTCCAATATCCCTTTAACTTGTCACATCTAGGGCTCAGGTCTGCCTTGACTCACTTTACATTCTTCCTACTGCCTCTTAAAAGTTTTCAGACTTTAAACAGTAAAATAGAACTGCTCCTGCAGCTTTTTAAGTATTCTGACTATCACACACTGTGGAATAGAGCTGCTCTCTGCGATACAGTATTAGACACAGGCTAAAACAGCAACTTTCCCTTCCAGTGCTTCCATGGAGTTCATGTTCTAAGATCATGCACTAGTAACAAGCAATGAGCAGCCACATGTGCAGTGACAACTGCACTGCATACAATCACCAGTGGCCTTTCACCCCAGTTCTCCTTTAAACACAGATCTCTCTTTTTGTCACTGTTGTTTGGAAGTCATTCTCAGATCAGGCTGGCTTGGCTCTTCACACAGGAAGGCAGTACAGTTTCATTAGCAAAACTGCATTTAACAAGTGAGACGTATTTGTTATCTTATAGTACTTGCAGAACCAATTTTTTAACAAAAATATTCAGCTGTTGAAAATAACCTTTTTTGCTACGCTCACGTATGGCAATCTGCAAGAAAGATCCACTGACTGCAATATAATCTCTTTAACAGTCACTGTGCTAAAAATGTATGTACAGCAGGATTAACTCCTGCTCATTGCACTCGGAGCTCAAGAGCCTCGAGCGCTGCCTGCTCATCCTCTGCCAGCCAGCCATGTGTACCCGCACTGCAAAGTGTGTCCTGCACGGTTAAGAAACACAGCAGAACAACATGAAAATGGTAATTTACCAGCAAGCTCAACACTGTGGCTTTTCTAAGATCTTAACCCGCTTTCTTTCCTTTCTCCCCTCCAAATGTGGAGTTCATCGTTTTTGCTAGAAACGATGCTATAAACACAACACCTTGTGAGCAAACTCTAAGGAAAAAATCATGTGGGAACCATGGTGAACGGTAAACAAAATTGAAATTAGAGAAGCCATGTTCAGAGCTTGACATGCAAGAGATGTGCTTTCCCTAACATACAAAGCACGTTTCTCAGTTAACTGTGACACAACTACATCAGGAGGAACTGCATTTCCCTCAGGTCCCTCCTCAAGCAAAATATACTGGAGGAGAGATGCAATTCAGCCCATCTACAATCCCTGCAATTGTTGGATATTTAGATATAATTTACAAAAAGGAGAGGTGAGGGAGAAGAGAGGAGAAGAGAGGAAGATGGCACATGCTTCAGCTGACTTGCAAACAGTTTCTGAAAGGGCCAGTGATGGCAACACAGCACTAAAAATCAGCCTTAGCATCACTGGTGTCAGCTGGAGCTGTGCATTCCTGATTAGGGATTGCATACACCTGTGGTCTGCAATCGAGTGCTAATCAGGGAGCACCACGTACCTTTATAAGGGCTGCTTGAGCAGCAGCTATGTAAGTGTCTTGCAGAATTTAGAAATGTTTAGGGCTGTGCACGACTGCTTAGTGCTGTGGAACAGTACTGTTAAGCTAGTCTTTTTGTTGGTAAATTAATATCTTCTTGAGCTTCAGCCCAGCTTGGAGCTGTAAAAATCCTCAGAAGAATTCCTAATGAAAACAGCGTTGTACTATTGTGTGGGCTGGCTATTTCCAGCTAGGCTGGGCTCATGTCATGTCTGCTTAGCGTGAGTCAATCCAAACCAATTGAAGCTGAGTTTACATGGGTGTTTACTTGAGTGCCCATAAGAATTTTGCTTCATTAGTTCTGATTGGCTCAATTAGGCCTGGGTTTGCCACATGTTTCCATGTGTCGGATGTTTTATTTATTTATTTATTTATTTACCTTCTCTGTGAGTCACTGAAAGTCGTATTGGCAACCTGGGTTTTTTTTTCTCTTTGCTGAACTTAAACTTTGTTTCTACAACTCTTGAGGCAGTAAAAGGAAAATAAAACATAAGTCAGCTGTGTTAAAGCAGAGCAGTGGTCAGCTTTGGCTCACCTTTTCTTCCGGAGGCTGAAATATTGACTGAATATAGATTAGTGGTTTTTTTTTTTTTTTTTTTTTTTTTTTTTTTTTTTTTTGAGATCAACTAATATTTCACTACGGGAAGTGTGCATAACCAAAGCCAGGATGGGAGTACACTTACCTATGTATTTCTTTTTGCCTAGAGAAGATTGAACTACCCTTGAATGTAAAACACTGTGGCCTATAAACCTCTGAAATAGCTGAACAGATGAAGGTGAGTGATAATTGCTCTTTTACAGGTTTCTGCTTTCTTAAACTGAACGGGAATTGAGTTTTTTTGTAATGTGGTCAAGTCAGGCTTCAGAAACAAAGATCTGGAGTAGCTTATGAAGGTAAATTAACATAAATGGACCCCTTGACCTAACTGGTTATATTCTAGTAACCTTTCCCATGCTCAAAATCTGTAGTCAGAAGTACCTGCTTTAAGTTTTATAGAGTATCTTATGCTCTAGATTCCTGTCTCCTTAAAACAGCTAACAGTTAAATTCCTAAACTCAATTGCTTACTGCCAACATAGCATCTTACATGGTTTCAGAGAGGGCTAGTCCATAAAAAATAATTACCCCTGCATGATAAAATTGCTTATATTTCCTATGGGACAGGCCTGCATCAGGTGCCTTTATTGTATCAAAGCAAGACTTGGCATTTGTCACTTGTTTTGTGCAGATCTGTGAGAAAAGCAACGAGCCAATAGGACCACCTTGCACTATAGGCAAGATGTTCAATTTAAGATAACTTGGACTTAAGCAACTGCTTTCATAGGAAACACAATTTTGATGATGCTTTCCAGCAAGGCTGTGTCAAGCCGACTGCAGCAGTTATATGCAAAATGGGATCTATTTTTAAGCGCTGCCAAACATCTGTGCTCTCAGCTACAACTCGCTCTCAATTTCAGCCTACTTCCTGGCATTGCTCAGCCTTGTCTTCAACAAAGAGCAACAGGAAGGGGGGGTGGAGGGGATGGCTATCCTGTCCCCACTGTAAATTTAAAAATAAAAAAATCCATGAGACATATGGTCTTGCATAAAATAACCATCGGAGAGAAGCCTTGTGCAGTGTCAGGTTAGTGAGAATATTCTAATTATACAATGTCTAAGCAGTGCCTCATTTGCAGTCACTGAGTAAAACAAATGTAGATGATAAAACTGTGGGTCACAAGAGATGTGTATTTTAACAGTATGGGAACCTTTACCCTGAAATTACTAAATTAAACCCTAAACTCATTACTTATCAAGTAATGTAAATAAGGATCAAGATGAACTGTTACTTTCCATAACAAGAAAAAAGTTGTTTGGGCTTTTTTTTTTTTTTTAGTTAGTAAGGCAAATCTGGCTTGGAAGAACTTATCACTAAGGAAACACTAAATAGACTTCAGTTGGACTTGCAAACGCTTCGTTTTAAGGGAGTTTACAGTATCACTTATGTAACAGAACTGATAGCCATACAGGGAGAGCTGACAAGTCAAATCCAAATCATGAGACACATGCATGCACAGAAAAATGGGAACCATGTCAGTTATGTTGCTGGCTTATCAAGCTCTTGGTTCTCTGGGAGAACGTTATATGGTTTGTAATATGTCAGAGAATGTCAAATTAAGGGCTGTACAACAGTGAAGGGTAGAGCAGAAAGCATTCTATTCCAGGCCATTGAGTCCCTTTAACAACTACATGCAGTAATTCCCAAAGCTATCTACTCAGTCTCAATCACATGGAAAACATGGCACAACGTTAGTTCTGAACCTTGCACCAAGTGCAGCTTAAATATTAGACCATCGAAGTGGATTCAAGAAGATGACTGATTTAAGCAGAATAATTCTTTTAATGATAACTTGTTGCACTTCTCCTTCCCCCAGCTCTTTAAATGTTTAATCGTTTGCTTCCTGGATTCCCAGTACACAAACTGAGCATATTTTCTTCCTACAGGAAATGATCCAATTAAGTTTATGTATAATTGATAATCAACTGTTTAAGCTGATTTTGCTCTTGAAAAATCTCAACAACATGCAGTCAGTTTACTGACCCTTCTTCCCTCGTCTCTACTTGAAGGATATCGTTTAGAGAAGGAGGAAAAAGAGGGAGCAGTCTCAGTGTGCTGTAAGCAAGGTGGACCTGGGAGGATTTTCACCTCTCGTGAGCAGAGCAGGCTCAAGGCAAAAATATCAAAATATTCCAGTCCCTGCTTATTACTGGATCAACAAAGTGCTCATCACTTGACCAGTGTAACATGCATTTTAGACCCAAGTGGCTCAGCCCACACTAACAGCACCAACATGGTTTAAGAGCTGCTGGAGATTTACCGTGATCTCTGTCGTGGGCACATCTAACCAGTGCAGCCCTAAGTTTCCCACTTCTAGTGTAATAAAGTTGCCTTACAGCAGGTGACTGTGGGAGATGTGGATTGATTCTTAGAGCTTAACAGTGTGTGACTACCCCGGCCAAAAAGGCAAATCAAGGGAATTCTGCTAACAGCACAGAAGGAGTCAGAGACTGATGACAAGAGGCTGGAGCACGTTCTTGTAACTGAATACAAAGAATTCTACAAACCAAAAGGATGAAATTGTTCTTAAGCAGATTTTGACTGAGCTCAGCATAACTGCTTACCACTCACTAGACTATTCCCCTGCCTTGCAAGAAGACTCACTATCCAGCATGAGCCATTTATCTCCCTGTGCTTTGGTATCCTTCCCCATCTTCTGTTGGCCTTGACATATCGGACCATAAGGCACTTGGGAACAGGCCTGCTCCTCGCTGACAGTGCCTAGTCTGGCATGCCAAGCTGTTGTGTGTGCCGCTGACACATCCATTTCAGATAATTGTTCACTTTGGGCCCTACAGATTGGCTTTCATCAGTCTGTGTAACTTAATGGCTGGAATGGCTTGTTAAATGCCCAGAAATTGATACAGGAACCATGTAATTGGGGGGAAAAAATCTAGGTATTAAATAGATAAACTATTATTCAAGTGACTGAATTCTAGAGAGACGTCTGTAACTGTTCTTTACAACCGGAGCACACTCTGCCTATTGCCAACAAATTTTACTGGAAAGAATTTTATAATTGGGCAGTAAGACTTTTATAGCAGTGCTTGCTTATGCTACTTTAGCAAAGAGTCTGTCACTGTCTGTTAGGAACCCGGTTTTTAAAGGGCCACAGGTGCAGCATGTCTTTATTGTTCCTAAGTATGTCCATTGTATGGTCCTAATAATTCCACTTCATGTGGGACATGGATGCTCTACAAAGAGCTAGGCAGCCTCTCCCTCAGGGTGCCCTTTAAACAAGCGGTGGATGCACAAGCAGCCACTGAGGAATTAATTCATGTGGGGTAAGGTACTGTGCAACAACTTAGATAGGTCTGGCGGGGAGGGTTGTTTGTTTGTAACTAAGTACTTCCTTTTACGTTCTACAATCATCATGCTCCTGTCATTCTTATCTAGTAAATTTTTAGAGAGAGTTAAGTACAAAATATATTTTAGCTTCCTGTATTATGTGCTGCCAACGCACTTCAGTATAAAAATGGGTTTAAGTCTACTTACAGCTGTCGCATACCCTAATAGAGCTACTGAAGTGAGCTCCATTAGTGAGACTTTTACAGGAGCAAGCCTCATCCAATTCTGTCCAGAGAAAAACAAGGCAACTTGTTTGCTTAAACGCAGAGGGAAGCAGAGATTTTTTTTTTTTTTTTTTTTTTTTTTTTTTTGCTTTTCAGTGTGACACATAAAAGGAATTTACACTTGATGATCTGCGCAAAATACATGCACAGGAATAAGCCACAGAAGCAAGCAAAATAGGAAAATAAAAAAGATTCTGTGATTTCAAATGCAATCAATCAGGTGATATTTTAATAATGTAACTGATAAAATTTCAAATGGTTCTTTATTACCTTTAAAAAGTATCTTAATTTGCCATAAAACATAGATAGGGGGAAGGGAGAAAAGAATGGATTTTGCTTTCTTACACAGTACGAAAGTGTCACACAGTGATATAAATTGTGCACTCCCAAATCCTTTCAGTTCACACTGCCATGGCTTGCTCGTGAGGCCGTACTCCATGTAATTATCAGCCAAACTAAATCAGTAAACTGTTCCAGATAGAATAATATCTTGCCTTCAGCATTTTTCTTGTAAGCTCTACACTTTCTACTTAGATTTATTTACTCTGACAATGCTGTTCAGTCAGTATTTAGTGCGGTTAGATATTAGCAATGCAGAAGAGCTGAAAACTTAGCAAAACAGTTTGCTTTTCACAGAAGTCTGAGCACAGTTTTTAATCATTGGTTGATGTTATTCAAAAGAAACATAGTGTGTCATGGAGGTCAAGCCCTTACTAATTTCACTAACTAACTTCACTAGGATTTCTATCCCAAGTGAGAAGCAGCTTTCCACAACTGAGTTAGTTTTCTGCTAAATGCTCATCTCCAGTTCTCTTGAACATCAATCCACAGCTATCACTAAATATGCTTTGTATATGTCGCCAAAGAATTCTAATAACTGCTTATATCTCAAACAACTAGCAGACTTCCAGTTGCTTTTCTCCATCAGCAAAAATTATCTGCTCAGTTCTCTTAAAATTCACTACATGTGACAGCCCGAAATTTTCACAGGTAAGAGTCTGTTGAGACAACTATAGCAGAGGTGACAAACAAATCATTCTTAATAGTTTTGTAGTTTTGCTTAAATGTTTTAATTGCAGGGTTTAGAAACAGTGTATTTTTAATAAAAATATGTCCAGTGTCAATGGAGAATTTCACAACTGCTCCTTTGAACACACTTGGAGCACTACAATGTATTTGTGACATGGGTATTCAGTTTTCATCTATTTTGAAATTAGTTTTCCCTCTTGGAACATAGTGTCTTTTTAGGCCTCTGTTATCCAGATAATTTGTAAACTATAAGGATTTATAATTGCAGATAAATGAAAAACTGGCTATTTGATGTTTGATTAAATCTTTCTTACCAATTTTATAATGAAATGAGAATGAATAATCACTTAGTCTTTGATTGATTGAGTTAAAATTTCAGTGTATCAGTCAACCACATTAATATGGACTCCATATGTGCATTTTAAAATAAAATTATCTATGGATACCTCCATCTATGCTCAGTGGTAAAACAGGGATTCTGACAGTGTATAATTGCCCGACAGCTTGCAACACATAGAGTTAACATTTTTTTCTTTTTTTTTTTCTTTTTTTTTTTTTCTTTTTTTTTTTTTCTTTTTTTTTTTCTGGAAGAGACAAGGAAGACTTCAAAAGCCTTCACAGCTAAACAAAACTCCAGTTAATGAAATGCTTTTCGGGAAGCTTCAAATAGTGCTCAACGATCCAAAAGCTCCAAGAGCATTAAATCACTAGCTCTATTTGTTTTAGTTTGATTATCTACCCTAACAAAAGAAAATGATGCAGTAAGATTGAAATCAGTTGATGCCAGTGACAGAAAATCTAAGTTCTGACCTATCAGAAAGGCAAGACTCAGTCTTACCTTCATTTTCTTATGCTTGACCTTACCTTCTTCATGCTGTTTTGTTTGTCAGCGAAAACACTTTGCATGGGCTGAACAGTCATAACATGTAATCTTTTGAGGGACAGAGATATAGAATGAGCTGAGTGTTGAAATACCTCCTCAAACTGCAGTCTGCTAAATAAAACCCTAAACAATTCAGTTTAGCCACAACTTAAAGGAGCAATTCAGTTGTAAAAACTCCAGAATGGTTCCCTTTAAATGTGCTTTTCCTATACAGTCTCTGTCAGCAAAGTAGTCCTATTTTCTCCCTGCCAGAGCTAAACTTCTCTTTTAAAACCAGGGTTGGTATCATTATGTGCATTGCTTCTTGCTATACAGCCATGATAAGCACAAATCTTGGATTTTATTGGATAAGGTTTTCTCAAGTACCAAAAGAACCTGGAGTGGGGCTTATGCAAACCATTCTGTCAAATTTTATCAGGCAAGTTTCCCTCACTCTGTGTGTGTACACACACACACACACACACACACACACACACAAAAAAAAAAAAAAAAAAAAAAAAAAAAAAAAAGCAGAGCAAGCAGAGACGCTTCAAAGCTTTTGGGCCACATCAAAATACCAATTTTTTGGTCAAGAATAGGGAATAAAGCGACAACTGACTGGACCTTCTGCAAATCTGCATATTTTAATTACAGAATCCTTAGGCTGTGATCTTTGTGAACTTCAGGACATCCTATGCCTGCTACTTCCTCAAGGAGCAAGAAGAGCAGAGAAATCTGATTGCTGGGAAGAGTCCAACCTGCAGGTCAGTGGCCCTCATGGAGGGGAAACTCCAAACACAATTGCTTTCTTCATTTATCAAGTATTATCTTGACACCAACTTTTTAAAATGCAATATCCTTAGAAACGTAATGATCTAATTGGGACTAAATATATATAAAACTACCTCTTACATATAAAGAAGACTACCTCTAATGGCTTCAATATTGCATCAGTTAGCACTACTGGAGTGGGGGAAAGCAGAATAGCACAGAACGAGATTTTAAAAAGGTGTACCACATGGACTGTACTGTGTTTTCAAGAAAATAAATGACAGTGCATGATAAGACTGGCTATACCTCTTTAGATTGTGCAAGGAAGCTCCTAAAAGTGCATTTGCTCTGAGCAAAAAAGAAAACAGTTGTTTTATTATGCCATTAATTTCCACCAAAAAGAAAAATCCACACTATTTAAGGGAAATGACAAACTCACGGCTGCTTAATATCCTGTATGTGAGTATATCCTCTATTTTTTTTAAAAAAAGAAGGGGAAGAATTAGAAAAGAGAAATAAATTTTGATCTCTGGGGAAAAAAAAGAAAGGATTTCCTTTTTGCTTCTTTAGAAGCCTATTGTCTAAGGTGAAGTCAGACTTTTCCCTTGTACTGTTTAAAGCAGCTTTTATGCATATGAACTGATATGATAAACTACATGCAGCAGCACTCAAGCTCCTTCATTAAGCAAACAGCCTATAGTCAGAGATGAGGCAAATAAATTAAGTCTTCCCAAAAGTGTCCTATTGACTAAAAAACTGACTGCTTCCTGGAAAAACAAGTTATACCTGAGGTTGACGTTAGTATTTAGAATACTTTCCTCTATACAAAGATTTGTGAAATACACACATCTTACACATTCCTAAGGTTTTTAACTAGTGGTTCTCAACTCTCTTGGAGTAAGTCTCATTTTGTTCAGACTAAGCAGGCATTCTTTGGCACAGACCCCTCCAACTCAGTGAACTTAATTGAGCTTGGATTTATCAAACTTCACACAGTCTGAATGTGAATAATTGCAGGAGTGGCAGGCAATGTTAATTTATGGAATGTTATCTCTAGGATAAGGAGAACATAATATATTGCAATCACAGATGTAGGAATGAATTCTACCTGGAAAAAGGTAATGAAGAGTATAAGTGTATGCTATAATTTTGAATAAGTCTTCAGCTTATTGCCTGATACTCACAGAATTAATGATTCCTTTAAGTGCTTGGAATCCTCCAGTGACAGGGAAGACTTGTTCTTTTGTATCAGCAATTTTTTCAAGCTTTGGAAAGAAAGCACATGCACGCATATGAATTGTTTGGCAAATGAAACGTGGTACACTGTTTTTCAGCCTTAAAATGTAAAAGGATGTCTAAAAATAACTTGGCAAAGGAAAGAAAATTTTAAGTCCCCCCACCTCACAGCTGAAGAGGCTGTTGATGATTTTTCTAAATGATTTTTCTCAAGTAGACTTACTACAGCCTACTGCCACTAACAAAATGGTTTCACTGGCTATCCACCATGCCAAACACAACCACCCAAAGGAAACATTTCAGAATCTGTATTTCAGCAGTAATTTTTCATCTCCTTCTGATGTTGTCTTCCCTGTTTGCTCAGCCTCAGAAGGCTCTTCTCTCTATCTTGTACACTAACACACCTTCTGTGTGCTTCTCCATTTAAGGCACATCCATGGCACAACAGTATCTATACTGGTGATTACAACACAGTTTTGCTAGAGCACAGGAATCCCAGAAGAGGTTTAAGTTGACTGCTGACATTGATCCTTCTTCCTTTTTCTTATCCCAAGTCTGTTACCAATTTTGCTCCAGGTTTGTCTGTAGCTATTCTATTAATGCAACCTGGAGTCTAATCTGGTCACCACTTTAGCAGAAAGGTCTATTTCTACACCTCCTTCTGCAGGCATCTACAAGTTAGCAGGGCTATCTGCGACAGGTCTTTCCTGCAATGAAAGTGACACCCGCACATTCTATTAATGTCTACGAACATAACTGAGTTCTTGCTTACTAAGCAGAGAAGGTATACTGCCTAAGGTCACCCAAATTAATTCCTCTATACTTAACAAAACTCTTATAAAATCATGAAATAAGATATTGACTAGAAATTGGTAACTAGCAAACAGTAATGTTCTTACCTGTTCTTGTACAAAATCAAGGACACCAACACAATAAACTCGAGCCCCCAGCTCTCTGGATTTCTTTGCCTGCCCCAGAATAGAAAAGAGGAATAAACTTTTTTATTCAACAGGCAGCATGTACTGTTCAGAATATAACATGCACTTGCAGATAGTGCTCACCTCTTTCTCTGCATACAAGGGAATCTGACCATCGAGTTTGCCATCTGTCAATGCAATGATGATACTGGAAAACCTTGAGGCTCCTTGCACTGCAATTTGCTCATTAGCCTGAAAATGAAAAAATATTTATCCAGCTTAAATGTACACTGAAACTTGTAACCAAGATGCATAGTGTTTTGTGGCGAGAAACAACATGCTACCTCATTACTAAAATCCATCTCTTGGCTTCCTTTTTGCTGCTTATTAAAAAGGATATTACTCATCAGTAGTAGCAAGAGTTCAGGCAAGGCTGTAGGCAGCAATGTAGCTGGATAAGGACTAGGACAAATATTTTGAAGTCACTAGTGAGTCCATCTCCAAAGTGCTGGGTTCAGTGACTGAGGAACTTTGGAAAAGCTTCATTCTTTCAGAATGGTTACTCTGTAGGCTTTGAAGCTCACATCTCTTTAAATGCACCGTAACATTCGCTTTGGTATCCCCAGAATCTCAGTGCTACTCAAATGGTTCTGTTTGCTTTTTCAGTACACAGACCACAATTACAAATTTGACTCTACCCCTATAAAGGAAGAAAATCACTTTCTATGTGTAACAGTGAAATCTTAAATGCTCATCTCATTTCTTAACTTCATGGCCTAAATTTTAGCAGAATGATAAAGTGGAATTTTATTGCACACCTCAATAAAATATAAGCAAATGGGAACTCTGTAATTAAGACTTCCCAAAGGTAAGGCTAGTTGTGGCGAAAATGCCGGTTTGCACAATTAGTTGTCCACAAACCCATTCTGTAGAAGGTTCAGATATGCTCACAGCCCTACAAAGCTCTGCATGACTATTTACCATATAAGTGGAAAGCTGTATGAATTTGATCTATGACAAAGAACAAACAACCACTCCTTATTGCCAGGTTTTGACAGTGGCTATCTCTTGCTTAGGATCTGTTGAACAGCTGGACAGTCTTGGGACCACATTTAAAAAAAGAAAAAAAAAAAAAAAAAAAGAGTGAGAGATTTGAGTGTAGCAGACCGAATCATGTAATCCATTTAAGTTACAAGTTGTTTTAATCTCAAGGGTCAGAAGAGAGCAATGAGATGTGCAAAACCTACCTGTTTTAACCCTTCATGAATGTATGTGTCACCTGCTGGTTTGACCTCCTCTAAATCCTTAAGACCTTTCTTGATTTTCTCTCTGAAATCAGTAAGATGAAAGATTTAGAATGGCAGGGGAAGTAGGGAAGTGGCTAGTTTATTGATGGAAAAAAAATGTATTTGTCATAAATGAGGCCCAAAATTAGAACCCATAAAACAAAGCATTCAGCTGAGATATCACGTGGAGGCAGATCTTCCTTTCACAGCAAAGCAACACTGTGGGTAATGTCTTTTAGACCTAACTAAGCACACTATGGCTTAGTGAGTCAAAAAGTTAGATTCAGGTAAAAATCTTTCATGTGAAGTGCATATTGCAAATATATGGCCCAATCCCAGGATTAAAACAGCTCAGTGGAAATACTGTTGAATTTTTCTAAACTTACTATGCTTCCTTAAACTGACGTCACTTACAACCACACTGGAATTAGAAAGAAACCCCCTAAAACAGCAGTTTTATGTTCTATATCAATGTATTTAGTACATATATCTACATATTGACATGGATAATTATATAAAAGTGGTAGGACAGAACAGATGTAACTGATATTTGATTTAATTACAGCACAGCCGGTATAAGAGATGGGAAAAACAAGAAAGAGAGGTTATATTGAAAGAATCAAATGTAGAAGCTCTTAATTTTTATGCAATTAAACTTCCACTGAAGACCACGAGAAGTTGCTCTAGCAAAGGACAAGTGAAATGTAAGCAGAAACACAAAATTAGGGCTGGAATATATACAGCAATATAGTAAATATAGGTGACATTGAGGAAACAAGCAAGGATAAGGAGATGGATGAAAAATAGATTGCAGGATGCAAGTTCATTTTCCTTAGAGCCAACGAAATGAGAAAGAATGCATAAGCCACTATGCCTGAATGCCACCCACAAGTCATTTGTTCCACTGGTGCGGTTCCTCTATGTTTAGAAGCTCTGTTTCAAAAGTATAATCCATAGTCATAATGTTCAATTTGTAATAATCTCCCAAATAGAGGATAATTGCTACAATTGGGGAGGGGAAAAAAAAAATAAAAAATAAAAAATAAAAAATAAAAAATAAAAAGAAGTGCTGCATTAAATAGAGTGAAGAGAACAAGTTATGTAAGATAATACAATCTGTTTGATCTAAATATTTTACATTCAGCATCTATAGAAACAACTTGAAAGTGATTATGTATGAACGTAGATTATAAACCACACACTTAGTGCTTGCCAGAAATGAGTGGCAGCGCATCACAGGCGTTAGTGTTCTGCTGCCAAGAAACAAACAGCAACTGAAGCCCCAGTTTTCTGAAACAGATTTGATTTTGCAAAAATAGCTTTTGTACAATCAGTTCAGTTTTATTTATCCAAGAGTGTTTAGTGACCCAGCCACACAGACATCTCTGGTGTTTCCAGGCCTCTGCCTAAAGGGGATTCCAGGAAAATCTTTGGCAGCAAGAGCTTCTTTAGCTGCATTTAATTGGTCACTACCTCTCTCTCTCTCAGGGCATAGATGTTCCAGGTAGGTCCAGACAGATGTGAGCAAGCTCTACCCATGCTCTGAGTTGGCCAGGAGGAAGTGAAGTCTGGCCCAGAAGCCCTAAAGCCACGTTAGCGGACAGGGGTCCGCATTAGTGAAAGAAAGGGCCCAAAGAAATAAGCTCCAGCAGACAGTGAGAGGCTAGTTCAGTCTCACTAACAAGAGTATGCAGTCACTGGCTTACACCAGCACGTCTCGAGGGCCGCAGGTAAGCACATGTCCATCTGAATCCTTTTGATAACAAAGGCTCTTTAGTCAAGCCTCTCCCATATCTTGCTTTCTGGTGGTCCCTTGAAGCCTTCTTTCCTACTCTGCAGTCCTCTAACATGAAAATCCTCTCTCTAGTTCTGTAATAATTTTTTTTACAGATACAAACTCTAAAGGGAAAGTCTGGTTTATGTAAAACTCATCTGTACTGAAATTACAGAACCATGACCTCAGTCCAGGTGCCTGGACAATACTGCAGTACATTTCAGTAACAGTAATAAAGGAGTGCCACTGCCTCCATGACTTAAGTCAAACAAGGGAAGAAGGAGGAGGGAGGGAAATAAAAAAAGAAAACTTCAGCAACTTGCAGCCTGCTTGTGTTTGGGTTGAATGATTACAAATATAATGTCCCTTCCCAATTCACCGTATGTGCTGCATCACACCTCTGTGTTTTAGAAAAGGCACATCTAATGTGTAATACCTATCCTGTTACGTCTTTTAAGGTTTGTAATTTGTTGAGATAATTATTCCAGCAGCAGTCAGGCAAATATAGCTGTGGGGATACAAACTCTGCATCATGCTGTTCTCGCTCTATGCTCTCTCTGTTTCAGAAAGAAGGACCTTGCATCGTGCAGAGGACGCACTTGTTGCCAAGAGAACTGAGCCTAATTTTTGTTGAGGCATATAGACCTGTCTGCAAATACTGCTGCCTGACAGTGGAAGACAGAGGTAAGATCTCCTTAAAATGCAAAGGATGTAGATCACACCCCTGTTTTAGAAGAGAAAAGATTATGCTACAGACTTGTGATGAATCACAGGCCTTCTTAATGTTTCAAGAGACACACTACTCTTTCTGAGAGTAAGCACACATATCAGAAAGAGGAAAACCACTCGCCTTAATGGAAATAAGCCTATCTCCAACATGTTCAAAGGGATAGGATTATTCTTGATAGAAGGCAAAGCATACTTGAAGACAGCAACTTAAAAACTATTCAAAACCCTGCTTTTTCTAGAGACAATTTTGCACTTGTACATTAGTGCTGGACATGAAAGAACCGACCAAAATGATCACATAAACCTCAGGTTGTGCTGAAACATGGGCATAGTGTCCTGCAAAACGCTAGGTTTCCATTGGTGTCTACGCAGTTTTAAGGAGTGGTGTTCTTAGCTCTTCTGGACAGGGGACAGTATCTTTTATTTCTTTTCCGTGTTCCAGTTTATATATTGAAATGCTGGAATCTTGAGTCATTTTTTAGTTTATTCAGAGCAGAGCAAAGCATTGTTGGCAAAAAATACTGCAGAGTAAATTTTGTAAAACATAAATAGATACTGGCAAATTTTGATCCCCAGTGAGCATTTACTTATAATCAGAAATGAGGCCATCTGCCTGAAAGGTAATGTACATGATCCCTAACAAATCAGGGGAAACAAAAGTTGTACCTTAGTATTGCTGTCAAGCAAGGAGTATAAAACATGTATACTTGATTGGAAAACAAAGGGAAAAAACAGTGTTCTTTAAACAAGAGGAGTGGGTGATCCTATATCTCTACTAAACACCGTTGACACTACTGAATGTAAACTCTACATATCAGCCTCCTCACATGTGTAAGGTGGAGGAGCTGTTGCCTTTCTATGCCTCTGAAATACTACAGAGGGTGAGTACCACAGTAATAACTATTCTTTTTCAAACTTTAGGCTTCCTGGATGGGCCCAGTCTAGGAAAAAAAAAATTAAGTAGCTGATTTTCCTGCATATTATTCACCCAGCACATCACAATCTCTGCAAGATGGCTCTATTTTGGCAAGCTTCCTGCATCAAAGTGCAGGGTTTGTTCCCATGACTAAGGTGGAACATGCGTAAGTGCTCTGCTAGATTACAGGATGTGCATATTTCAACATTTCTCTGTGCAATAATGGAATAGTCAGTGAAGTCTGACAATAAGGTTCAGTTGGTAATGCAGTAGATAGACAACATCACCCTCACTGATAAAATATTTCAAAAGCTCCAACAACAGTTTCCTCTGAGCAGAATCAGCAAATTTAGTCTTGGCCGTGGATATTGCTCAAGTGCCGTAGAAGTGTGTTTCCTAAATCTCCAGTTCTCATGGCTAGTGTATAGCTTGCAAAAAGAAAATGCAGAAGATGCTGTATATTCATAAACGTACCAGCTTTTCCAAGCAACTCTTTTTTTAAATCTAGTAACATAATTGAGCCCAAGTGTGAATGCATAAATTGGTTTACTGCTTTGCATACGATTTCCAGTTAAATTCAAGGGAAATATATATCTCTACAGTGGGATATAACCACTGTGAGAAGTCTTCTCCAGGTCAATGTTATTTTTATTTTATACATTGTAGTGCTTTGTGTACTGTGGTTAACAATTACTTCTGTTTTCAGAATTACTCACATAACATTTCTCACAGTCAGCAAATCTTTGGCAATTTCAGGGCTTTAGCTCCATTGTGTATGGGTTTCTCTAAATCCACAGTTTTAATTTGCAGTAAAAAAAAACAAGAGCTTTGTGTGAATAATTAGAACCTTAAGCACTTTGAACTAACTGCTAGAGTTAAATTGTGGTTTCCTAACAATTGTGAATTAGCAGATAAATAAGAGGAGGGCAGGGAAAAAAGGAAATCCCTCAAAGTCCAAAATGCACATGATAGAATCAAAGCTGCAGCATCCCAATACTGCAGCAATACTTCGCATCATTGTCTTCCGTTTGGAACAAAGATAGTAGCAAACAGTGAACCATTTTGCATGTGCAGGGGGGTTGGACTAGATGACTTCTGGAGGTCCCTTCCAACCTTATGCATTCTGTGATTCTGTGATTTTCCACTTTTAATTCCTTTAATATTTAAAATCACAGTGTTCTTAGTGGATCTAGCCATCTTACTCAGGCACACAGTCACAGTTACTACTGTCCACTTCTTTATTCTCCCTATAATTCCTCCTAAATAACAGGGGTGATTTCCTCTCCTCTACCACATGCACAAAAGCATCAACACACTGTGGATCTGAAAGGTCTTCAAGAGGAACTTCTTAGAACTGAAATGAGTTCTTCCTATTTTTAAACTAGATTTCCCAGAAAAGGGAAAAGAGGAAAAAAAAAAAGAAAAAGAAAGAAGAAGGGACAAAAAAAAAAGTTCTTCCTATAATTTGTGTGCCACAGACATGCAATGAAAAAGGCACTTGTGTTTCCATGGCTGGATTCCAGAGTTCTGCCAAACCATTCAAAGTGGCCTGAATGGTATCTGCGCTATCTACACTGACTCTCAGTGTCTGATAACGAATAGGCCACTGACAGCAATTAAGGGCCTATTGAAATTTAAAAAAAGATAATAATAATAAAAAAAAAAACTCATCGACTTTAACAGTCCTTGGAACAAGCTTAGGTGTCCTCTTCTGACCTCCTTCAAGCCATCTGGAAATATGGCTAACCTTGTCTCACTCCACAACTCTGCAGACCACAGATCTGATATTCAAGTCAGGATGGCTGGAGGTGAAAAGTTAGGAGTTCTAAAGTCAGTTTTGGGGTTTTTTTTAATGCCAAAATAGGACGGGATTAGAATTATGACTTTAGACATCCGATTTCTAGAATGTCAGCATACATTTCTGTAGCAAAATACACTTGTCCGTTGCCAGTGACAGGTCTCTTCAGCACGTTCTTGTACTTGCTATTATGTATTATTAAGAAAGCAGTAAACTAACTGAATATGACAGACTGTGCTTTGTATTGACTCTGTTAAAAGGAAGCAGAAAGGAAAGATTACCTCACTTCCACTCTGCCACCAGTGCATTAGTAAGATTCCTAAGTGGTTTATTTAAATGCTCAAAATCCAAGAAGAAGTTTGGTGCAGTTTACACAGACAGAGACAGAGAGGTCAGGTTTGACAGGGCTGAGAGCATATTTTATTTGAGGAAAAAATGGATGGGAAACATCTTGGGTTTAGACCATAGGAACAAACAGAGCTCGGACTACCAAGAACCATGCAATTGTCCTCTGCCAAAAGCAGTGATTCCACATTATGGATTTCAAGTTCCCAAGACTTTTCATTTTTAGTACTTTCCAGATATCTCTTTTTTACCCATTTTTCTCCTTTTGTTTTCGCCATCTATTCCAAATCAACCCAAGCTGTTGATCATTACTTCCTTTACAAATTACAACAAGCAGCCTTGAACATACCAACTGAAAAGGAGAGATCAGGCACATCAAACGTGCCCATGGTACCAGAAACATCTCACACATTTCAAGTGGTACAAACTCCAGTGTCTACAACTTGTTTTAAAGTCATGATTTGAAAATATATATACCTTATATGAGATCATGGGAAATGTCAACATTGTAGACTTTACTTACGTATTAACCAATCCAGAGGACTTCTCTTTAGATCTTGCTTTATAAATTATGAGCAAGAACCTTTCTCCTTTTGTGCCACTGAAGAAGCAGTTATGCATAGATGAAAATAAATAAACAACTTAAGCTGTTCTGCAAAGCAGTACAGAGTTCATGTCATGAATTTGAGTCTCATCAGTCTTCTCCTTCCTTTTTATCAGGCTATCTACTGAGATCTTCATGAAACTAACTCCATCTCTACGCAAAGCCCACCATTTAAAGGTATTACTTATTTGTTTAATGCCTGTTCCAGTTTTCTCTGATTTAATAAGAGACCTTTAGTGGGGGCACAGGAGGAAGAATAAAAAAGCTGTTCACTAACCTGTCTCCAGTTAATGGCAAAATGACATGTGCTTGGGTGGAAAACACGATGAATGACAGTCTCATCTTGGGGCTTTTAAAAAAAGAGAAATAGAAATATATATACATATACATATTTTAGACAAATGCAGAAAAATGTACAGATGCTCACCATTCCATTCACGCATTCATGCTTTACTACTACTGCCTTCATCCTCTAAATTTCAAACAATATGATTTTGAATTACAAATCAAGACTGAGAAAGGAATTAAGGGGTTTCTGCCCATGCACTCCTTGCCCAGATGCTCTGAGAATAAAGTAGCAGAATTATTATTCTTTCTTGCCTGACTAGAATCCAAATTAACATATGTTAAACTTAGAGATAAGAACTCGAGCATTCCAACTGAAAGTGAACTTCATAGTTTGTGATATACTAAACTACAAAACATGATATGTCCTTTTATACTTTGAGTTGCTGATGTGAAAGTCGGCTGGGGACATATGCTCAGGGTACATTTATAGTCTGGAGCATGAATCATAAATACATTCAAAAGTGAGTTTCCCCCTTTTAAAGTTTGATCTAGACACAATGTAAAATTTGACCTGTTCTTTTTGATTATAAAACCATCAAAATGAAATAAGTGGTGCCTTATGACAGATTTTCTTTTAAGTTTTAAGTAGCATAAATAGCATAAAAACGCTTTCAGAATAAGTACATTTCTATCTCAATAATATATAATTGTGATAGCTTAAATCAACTTCCTTAAAAGTAATTACAGAAATATGCATTATAAGAAATGGCACCGCATGAAATGAATTTATTAAGGAATTTTTTTCTTTTTTTTTTTCTGTAGAAGCCCATCTCTCTCTCCCAACAAGACTGAGATGAACTGTATGAAACTGTAAGTGGAGAAAAGTGTCTTCCAAGACATAGCGTGCTGGAAGCCCAAGTCAGCTACCTTCCTAAGGTAAATTTTAACATTTCTCTTATCTTTCTTTAGTTTATACTCATGGAAATTTCAATATATTTGCTAAACTTATAATTCATAGTGTTTGTGTATCACTATTAATTTATTGGGGTAATATTACTGAAGTCATAACACTTGTAAAGATGAATGACCACAATTTTTCAGTTGATTTGTGTTAATGATATTACTCAAAAAACAGGCATCATGAAGAAAAAAGTAGTTGCTTGGTAGTTCCTGCTCATAATACTTTCTGCTTGCAAGGTCTGTATCTTCTGAGATGCTCCAAATGAAATTGAGTAATGTCAATACACTACAGATCTTGGGATTTATTAGTCATCTTAGTTGCTGCAGACTGTTGCCAAAAAATGAACAAGTACTTGCAATCTCAATCTCTGTACATTATGTCACTAACTATCCCAAGTAATGTTAGACTTCTGTATTTGAGATAAAACTCTTTCGTGTTATGTGACTTTTGAAAGTCACTTCAAAACTATCACCTCACTCATTGATTTGTCTTTATTCAATGAAATCCAGGAAAACCATGGAACTGTCCCCTTACTCTCATGCCCCCATTTTGTGACACTTTCCAGCACTCAGAGATTGTGATGAAAGCAGAGGAACCATTTACATACAGTGTTAAGATCAGATCGGTCTTTTTCCAGTTTAAGAAATGATAAGGTTTCTTTTCAGTTTATTTTCAGTTAAGGTTCTTTTTCAGTTTAAGAAATGGCAAGGTGGCCTATTCTGGAAGATTACTGAGGACCTCACTGACCTTCAGAGACCCTCAAACTCCACGTTGGAAAGACCTGCGGAGAGGTACAAAGAGCCCCACAGCTACCACACCGCACAACGCTGGCTGCCAGAACGCAGGCCAAAATGAGGTGCTCGTAGGTTTGACTGGCTGCCTCTGCACTGTTATTAACCATCCTTGGCTGGGAAAGGTCAGAGGAGTAAATATGGTGAAACAGTTTTATTTGAAATAATATGGCCAGAAGGCTGTGAAACCCAACTGTTGTAAATGGGAGTATCATTTGGCTGCAAAAGATGAAAAAAATGGACAATTTACACTGGGCAAGTACCACCGTTTCAGTGTGGATGAATGTATTGTTTGGTACTTGCTGGAAAGAGGAAGAGCTTTGCTCGCACTCTCTCCTTTTTCTTTTAGGATTACAAGATAATTTTGAAAAACTTTTGTCACTCGTGTTCCATAAGATTTGTCTTTTACAGGATGGATGTAAGCAATGTGTAAGGATGAAAGATTTATAATTGCTTGCCACATTTCATTTTCTTTAGGAAAGAAAGATGGTAAAATCTATGTATGTGTCTTTGGGGGCTTTGTTTTATCGGATTTTTTTTTTTATTAAGATGCAACATCACAGTAATCCTCAACTCTTCGTACAGGGTACAGCTAGACAGTATTTACAAAACTCTATCTGGCACAGCAATTCTTGCCAGAAAATAGTGTTAGTCAGGTACACAGCCATGGGATCATATATTATACATAGATTATCACACAACATGTTTCCAATATTTTCTAGCTGTTTAGGCTTTAAAAGCCAGGCCTTAGCATCTTTATGAAACTTGTACATATAACAACCTTACAGAAGCATGTTTTATTTTCAATGTATTCCATTATAGAAGCTACAATGAGCAAGACACACCTCACAAATCTTTCTGTCAGCTGATGGACAAAATCATATATTTCATACCAGTTCTGTGCTACACTCCCAGATCTGAAAAGAAAAACAAAACCACGTTAGTTGGCCTTATTTAAGAAAAGCAGGCAAAGAGGGTGAAAAGTTCAGCGGGAAATCAGAAAACACGGGATAATCTATTTTTTCTAATTATTTCAGATGACCACCAACCCAAGCTCAGAGTAGCACTTGCACACATTTCATCAAGGCAAGATACAGCGGAACGCACACTCACTACCAAATCACAGTGAGAGGGCAAAACTATCTTGCCGTGCGGCCCAGCAGTGATTCACGGGCCCCCACGGGCTTTTCTCCTTCTCCCCCGGCCGGCGAACGCCAGTGTGCTGATGGTGACCTGTTATGCACAAACCTCCCTATTAAAAACATGATAATCAACAGCTGTTGTGGGGGAAGGGTGGCAGATGCTGCTGACGGCTTGGGCTCACTGAGAAGTATCCACACGTAGACTTGTAGTCAGAAAGTACAGCTTTGCTGATTTTTTTTTCTTTTTCTTTTTTTTTTTTCTCTTAAGTTTCTGTGAATCTGGAGGGCGGGGGGGAGGGGGGGTGGGAGGCAAGGATTAAATAAAATAAATAAAATCCAGCCCACCCAGATCTCCTGCACTACTTTGCCTGATAGTATTAATAATAATAATAATTTTTTTTAAAAAAAAGTGTTTCGGAAGGCTAAAAACTTTCTGCACCTCCTCCCGCCGCGCAGCTCTCGCTCCCGCGGCGGCGCTCGGGGCTCCGCGCCCACCGGGCGAGAAACTTTCCTCGCCGCCCGCGGCGGCTCCCGCCGCTCGCCTCAGCGCCGCCGCGACCGTTGCTCCCTAACGGTCGGCGCCGCGCCCCTCACCGCCCGCGCCCCGGCGCCCCTCAGCGCGCGCGCGCCGCGCCCCCCTCCCCCCGCACCCCTCCCCGCGCCGCCCGCCAACGGCTCTAACGGCCGCCGGCGCCGCCGCGCAGCCCCTTACTTGTCGAGCACGAAGTACAT